GTAATGCATTCTTGATCTTGTTTTACCTTGATTGTTATTCAAACAACTAAAAGTTGGTTATAGTTTGAACGATTGTAGGCATGAAAATTTGTACATGTGCCACATGCCCACATTGGCACATTGGATGTTATATGAAAAAAAAAAAATCAATGTACGTTGTTTGACTATTAATTAAAATAAGTTATTAGGGTGAAATAAATTAAACTAGTTTATTTTAGTCATTTTAATTAAACTTATTAATTCAATGGTGAAAGTTCAACCAAGAGGGTTAAATTATATTTATGTGTTAATCCCCGCCTAATGTATATTAAACCCTAAGAGTCCCCTCACTTTGACATACCTCAATCAATGCAAACAGAGTGGTTGCTACGGGAATGGCGATGGTGACCGGTGGACCTAATAATAGTGCTTGTGGTGGTATTGAGATGAAATGAGAGGGGGGAGAGAAAGTGTGAAAGGGCATATTTAACAACTTTAAGCACATAAATATCTATATATATAATTTTTTTTATTTAAATTCAAACAAATCGTGCATCACACGAGCTTTTTTTATTTTATTTGTTTCTTTTATAATTCAATTTTTGTCATTCTACCACGTCTATCCTTCTTCTTCTTCAGGGGTTTCGAAGCTGCTCTCTTTGTATGCTTTGAAATCTCTCCTTTTCTCTCTCTACTTTCTCTCTCATCGTTTTTCTTCGAAAACTCTCCAATGGCGGGAGATTTTTTAAATATCATATAATAATAATTAATATAAAGCTAAACTTTTAGCCAGGTCACGAGGCATCGACACTTGGCGTTCCAACTTTTCGCCAAGTGTTGCGCCACGTTGGATAGATTTAAATAGACTTAATAAGATAAAAAAGGTAATTTAGAATTCTATTTGGATAAGATTTTAGGATAAAATTGTTGGTTTATAGTTTTATTTTCGATAAAATACCAATATTTCATAGGTACAAATTTAATTATAATTTTATTCAAAAAAAATTATTAGATTATATTTCTCAAAAATTATCACATAAATTTATTTTTTTCATCATAATATTACTTGGAGTGAAAGAAGTGCTTCAAAGCGTAAAACATCCATTTATAATATATACTAATCTGTAAAAAAAAAATTCACAATCTAATAGAATTTTATTACTATGGAGACCAGTCAGGGTCGGGTCATGAGTCATATCGGATATGGTTACTTTAGGTTACGGGTCAAGAAATGTTCAACCCTTGCCCAAAGTTTTGGATTCGGATCAACTCAACGGGTTTTGAACATTTTATTTTATTTAATTTATTTTTTGCTAATTTTTTATTTTTTTAATGTATTAAATTGAATATTTCCACCAACATTATTATTAGTCATTACATGCCTACTAGATAGCAAATCATCATAAAAGCACATCAATTCCTTACTAATTTTATATCAATTATATATTTTAAATTTTAACATATAAATTAAAAATTGATCTTAAAATTCAAAAAACAATCCGGGCATTGCACGGGGCACAAAACTAGTATATATATAAAGGGGAGTTTTTCCCGAGACTTTACGTAGGGTTTAATTTTCTTAGCATGCCAGGTAAGATAATAAATTTTAGTTGAAGCCAATTAAATAATAGATTATTAATTTATTTTAGAATTAATTAATTCAAATTCCATGCAAGCAAAATTGGCGAATGATATTTTTAATTTTAAATTAACTAAATATAAAATAGAAAATTTTGATAATTACCACCATCTATTGTTGCCAAAATTGAAAATACCACCTCAATTTTTATTTTATTTTTTTTAATTTTACCACCTAGTTTTTTCCAAAAGTTTTAAAAATCCCACCACTTTATGAGATGACGTCATTATAGGACCCACAATTTCGTTTTCCCTCTCTTTCCCTCATTCTTCCCTCGATTTCCCCTGTTCTTCTACTCCCCTCTTTCAATTTCATCTCTGAAATTTGATGTCATTTACAAAAATTTCGCAAATTAGGTTATAACTTATACAATCTAACCTAAAACGAAGTGAATTGATTTGATTAATTAGGGTTTGGGTAATTAATTTGGGGGGTTTTGCTAAATTTGACAAATTAGGCTTTATGAAGTTAAAATTGAATGAATAAGAGGACAATTAAACATGTAATTACCACGGATAAACCCCTAATTTGTCAAATTTAGCAAAACCCCCAAATTGATTACCCTAATTTGTCGAATTTAGCAAAACCCCCAAATTGATTACGCAAATTTGTCAAATTTAGCTAAACTCCCAAATTGATTACCCAAACCCTAATTAAACTAATCAATTCAGTTCGTTGTAGGTTAGATTGTAGAAATTATAACCTAATTTGCGAAAGTTTTAAAAATCCCACCTCTTTATGAGATGACGTCATTGTGGGACCCACAATTTTGTTTTCCCTCTCTTTCCCTCAATTTCCCCTGTTCTTCTACTCCTTTCTTTCAATTTCATCTCTCAAATTTGATTTTAATTACACAAATTTCGCAAATTAGGTTATAATTTCTACAATCCAGCCTACAACGAACTGAATTGATTAGTTTAATTAGGGTTTGGGTAATCAATTTGAGAGTTTTGCTAAATTTGACAAATTTGCGTAATCAATTTGGGGGTTTTGCTAAATTCGACAAATTAGGGTAATCAATTTGGGGGTTTTGCTAAATTCGACAAATTAGGGGTTTATCCGTGGTAATTACATGTTTAATTGTCCTCTTATTCATTCAATTTTAACTTCATAAACCCTAATTTGTCAAATTTAGCAAAACCCCCCAAATTAATTACCCAAACCCTAATTAATCAAATCAATTCACTTCGTTTTAAGTTAGATTGTATAAATTATAACCTAATTTGCGAAATTTTTGTAAATGACATCAAATTTCAGAGATGAAATTGAAAGAGGGGAGTAGAAGAACAGGGGAAAGCGAGGGAAGAATGAGGGAAAGAGAGGGAAAACGAAATTGTGGGTCCTATAATGACGTCATCTCATAAAGTGGTGGAATTTTTAAAACTTTGGGAAAAAAATATGTGGTAAAATTCAAAAAAAAAAAAAAAAAAAAAAAAAAAAAAAAAAAAAAAAAAAAACCTTGAGGTGGTATTTTCAATTTTGGCAACAATAGATGGTGGTAATTATCAAAATTTCCTATAAAATATTATGTTTTGATATTAGGAATTTTATCTAAATATGTAACAACATTTAGCACATACTCCCTCCATTTTTAAATACTTACTCCAATATCTTTTTTGGCCGTTTTTAAATACTTGCTCCATTTCCTTATTTGGAAAGCTTTTACAATATTTAACTCATTTCTCTCACCTAGTGGACCCAACAAATATCATATTTTATTAATTTCATATTCTCTCTCCTCCAATTTCTCCACTACTTTTGCTTTTTACAATTCTTTATTCTTCCACCAACCTCACTACCTCCATATTTTATAACTTTCTCTAATTTCTCCTAAAACTCCGCGCATGGAGAAATTGAGCAAGTATTTAAAAACGGAGGGAGTAAAATACAAAAAAAAAATATTAAAAATTAAACATTTCCAACAAATCGTGCATTGCACGGGCTTCATCTAGTATACTGCATAATTCTATGTGAAATTTAATAGAAATAAATAATTGGTTTAAATGGTAAATGTATGATCTTTACGTGTTAAAAATTACGGATTTAAAGTTAGCTCAAATCAAAATAGCATGGAAAAATTGCTCCCATTAATCTGAACTTTGCCTCATCCGCCGAAATTAATCCCAACTTTCGTTTATTATCTATCACTCCCAACTTTAGGGGGTATTAATTTCTATTGCACCCAACAGGTCACTCTACCTGATGTAGCAGGTTACCTAGACACGTGTCAGCATATGATTCGCTTAAAAAATTAAAATAAATAAATAAAGTTAAAAAAAATAAAATTAAATAAAAAAAAACACCTTCTCTCTCCTCTCTTCTCCCCACATCCCTTCCCTCACGGCCACCCGCAATCAGCCGGCGGCAGCACTACCTCCCCTTCCCCCACCTCCGTATCGCCGCCTCCCAACCCACCTCCCCGCTTTCCCTTCCCCTTGCGCACTTCACACACGTACTCCACCAACCTCCCTGCTTCCCTTTCCCTTCCACCAACTTCCCGTTGCAACCACGACCACCAGCAACAACCTTGCAAACCACCTCCCCTTTCCTCTTCGATCACCTTGCAAACCACTCAAAATCCCCCAAATCCTAACCCTTAACCCTAACATTCGAGACACTACAAAAACGGCAACGAAATCAGCCACCAATGGCCGAAATCGGCCGATAAAGGGTTGAAATCAACCATTCAGGCCCATTATCGACTGATTTCGGCCATTTGTGGCCAATTTTGGTGGTCGATTTTGGGGAAGAGGGTTGTTTTATGGTGGGGAAACAGTCATGCGGTGGTGCGGTGGTGGTTGGCCATTTTCGACCATTGTGGTGGTCGATTTGGTGAGGGGGATGTGATGGGTTTTCGGTTGTGGTGGGTGAAGGGAGTGCGTGTGGTGGCTGGTGGCGAAGGGAGTGCGTGTGTGGCTTGATGCTGGGCTGCGTGAAGGGAGAGTGTGCGCTGGTGGTGGTGGTTCGGTGGTGGAGGTGGGGCAAGTGCTGGATAAGTTTTAGGAAATTAATTTTTTTTGTTTTCATTTTTTTTTTCCAACCAATTACATATTGACACGTCTGCAAAAAAAATAATTCACAAATGTTAACCTGATTAACTAGTTGGAAGTGATAGATAATAAACGGAAGTTGGGATTAATTTCGGCGGACGAGAGCAAAGTTCAGATTAATGAGAGCAATTTTTCCAAATAGCATTGCGATTACTTTGAAACGGATGGAATAACATCAACATCAAATTTACGGATGTTTGATTACCAATTTTTTTATTCAAGATTCTCGATCCATCGGCCATATTGCACAAGATTGCGAAACCCCACACATTATCACACATCAATAATGATGAAATCTTTGTCTTAATAATCACCCACCTTCGATTGCCAATTCAATCATTCACATTACTAAAATAAGGACTTAAATAAGGACTTTCAAGAGGTTATATAGCTACCAAAAAACGTGGGTTATGTAGCAAGTTCTTCTCTAGAGGTGAAGAGCTTCTCACTACCCACTTATCCATTCTCTCTCCTCTTTACGCTACCCAATTATTCAACCCTATAAGTCTATAACTGCACGCAATCAAGTGTTTTGAACCAATAATTTCTGGGTTTGTTGTTGAATTTTATTGGGTATTGTTTGAATTTTATTGGGTATTGTTTAAATTTGATGGTGGGTTTTTGAGAAGACCCAATTTTGAAGAAGTATAAAGAAAGAGGAGATAGAAAATTAGATGGGATTTGGGGAAGAAAATATGTTTGGGGGTGGTGATAATTATGATGGATTGAGAAGTTTTGTAAGGAGAAAACGTGTGGATTCAGAAAATAGCAACCACAATTCTTCTTCAACTGGTGGGCACCAATTAGCTAAAGCTTTGACTGTTCCTGATCTTGTTGCTATTGGTAATTTCACTTTCCTTTGCTTAAGTTTATTTATGGTAATATTTTTTTGTATGTCAATTCAATTTATGTAATGGTTTACTTGAATATGACCTTGTTTTATTGCTGACAATCATTCGTTTATATTATGTATGAAGTAGTGTTACCGTTTTAGAACTCTGTTATCGTAGAGTATATTTTCGTAGATTATATTTTCGACGTAGAGATTGGACAAAGGACACTGATGTAGACAGGATTTATTATTTGGTTTGGGTATTACCCTTCAGGCATTAACCAAACAAACTAGTTGGCATTCGCATTATATTTAAGTAATCGATTGCTGACTATAGTAATAATCATATATATCAATATAGAAGGTTGGTATATGATGCAAAAGTGAGGTGGGATTCAAACTGGGAATATTCAATTACTCAAGTTGAGATTTTGCTACTTGTGATTGTAGGCTCTGTATGAAATTACTCAATAAGTATATACTAAGTAGATATATGCTTATAACAGCTGGTGTTAGTCGAAAGGAGATGGCATATTATGTATAAGTTTTTCATAAGTTAGCAGTTCACGATTAGTAGTTTGCTTTTTGGATGTGTATGCTAATTCATATGGAAAGGTGTAGCATAAGGTAAAGTAACATTTTAAGCGGTAATAGGGCTATGAATATGATACTTATGATCATTCTTATGCAACACTCGCTGTGTAAAAGTTGAGTGGGAGAATATTTTATTCAAAAAATGATAATGTGAGTATATGCGAGGACCATGGGAAGCGAGAGAAATAATTTTATAAAAATAGCAAATGGGGTTAACGGTAGGAGAAAGAAAGGGATATTTCCTTTTAAGTGATGCACTTATTCAGATACGGAGGGAGTATGAGAGAGTGGGTTATATGTGTGGTTTGGTTTCCAATATTAGAGTATGGAAGCTCATGATAGCTATGGGTGAAGCACTCATTGTGTTGATGTCAAGGTAGATGTAAAAGCTCATGAATGCTTTGTAGAGTTTAAATCTATTTCTTTGTCAAACATCTATGGAAGCTCATGAATGCTATGGGTGAAGCACTCATTGTGTTGATGTCAAGGTAGATGTAAAAGCTCATGAATTCTTTGTAGAGTTTTAAATCTATTTCTTTGTCAAACATGGATGTTTGACAAAGAAATAGATTTAAAACTCTACAAAGGATGGAACTCCCACTAAGCTCCTATAATTCCTAATCCCTTTTTGAATGAAATCATGTATATTCCTAGAAAAGCTATCATCATCGCTCAGCCAAATGAAAGATGAATGAGGATGATGTGCAGTTGACAATCTTTAAAGAGAATGGAAAAAGGATACTAAGAGGTTGACTTCGTGTCCAAGAATCCTCTCTAATAACAAAGTGCTATACTTATCCATGTTATAATTGACCAAGGAATGAAGCGAGCCCTTCAATTGAACTTTCAAGAGCTATTGTGAGGAACCATTTGGCACAAGTCATTTGGTTTGTTTGTATAAACTTGGTTGTGCCTTTTGCAGATAAAAGTTGGAAGGCAAAGGGAGCACACGATTTTGTGGCAAGATGCTTATGTGGGGTGCTTTGGCTTGAAAGATGATATGCTGAGTTGTAGTTGGGACTTTGAGAGTATTCTTTGGTTACTTTTATGGAAGCATGTAGTTTATTTAGCTTCTCTTGGTCTTATGATCATGGGGCATCCTTTAACATGTCCCATTCTGATGTAATGATGCATTACGAGACTGGATTTTTTTTTCCTTGACTTCTGGTTGATCTTATCCCCTTACTTTGTATCATATTGTTTTCTGTTACATACACTTGGAAAGTGGTAGTACTATACATCTAATTGTGACACTAAAGCTTTTGGTTTGTTGTGCTAGGTGTTGGTTCAACTATTGGAGCTGGCGTTTATATACTTATTGGCACAGTAGCAAGAGAGCACTCTGGACCATCACTTGCTATTTCTTTCCTTATAGCTGGTATAGCAGCTGGCATTTCGGCCTTTTGTTATGCAGAGCTTGCTAGTCGATGTCCTTCTGCTGGAAGTGCTTATCATTACTCCTACATATGTGTTGGGGAAAGGTGATAAATAATAATTCTTTTGTTCTGAAGTCTTCATAATTTTCAGTTTCTAGTCCTAGAGGCTAAATGGTACTTTGTAGAGTTTAAACAGGGTTTTGCAAAAATAAGCTTATGATCTGAAGTTGGCTTATTTGTAATTCAGTGTTGCTTGGTTAATTGGTTGGGCTTTGATTCTGGAATATACTGTCGGTGGTTCTGCTGTTGCTCGTGGTATCTCGCCAAATCTGGTGTGTTTCATTTCTTTTCATCTAAATGCCTGAGATACTTAGCCCAGATCTGCTTTGGCAAGCTGCACAGTACTTTAATTTAATGGTACCTATTCAGGAACTGTACTGTGATCCTAATCTTCACGGTCGTTACTTGCTATGCAAGTAGGTTATTTTAAGATGTCCCTTGGTTCCATGCTGTTATGTTGAAAGCTGCATCATTTTTTGTAACCAACAGCAGTGCAAACTGTGCTGAGCTCTGTCACTTGGTTTGATTATGTTAGCTTATTGGTGAAAGTTTGTGGACCTGACCCCTTATTTTGTATTTAAATATGTTAGGCATTGCTCTTTGGTGGTGAGAACAGTCTGCCTTCCTTTCTGGCCCGCCAATATATTCCTTTTATTGACATCACAGTTGACCCGTGTGCCGCTGTACTTGTATTAGTCGTCACTGCACTTCTATGTGTTGGAATCAAGGAGGTATACAGTTCTCTTTATCAATTCTGAATGCTCTCTTGTCTCTACTTTAACTTAATCTCTGTATGGTTGTAAAAGCTAATATAATTAGACATTATTAAATTTTGCAGAGTACTTTTGCACAAGGCATTGTCACGTCAGGAAATGTATGTGCTATGATGTTTGTTATAATTGCTGGTGGGTATCTTGGATTCCAGAATGGATGGCCTGGATATGATCTATCTACAGGGTAATATATTTAACATATTCAAATTTTCTTCTGACCTGTCATCTTAGGTCAATGACTATAACCATTTGTACCCTCCCCTTGTTCTAGATTCTTTCCATTTGGGGTCGATGGAATGCTTGCTGGCTCTGCAACTGTCTTCTTTGCATACATTGGCTTTGATTCAGTGGCAAGCACTGCTGAGGAGGTAGTACATTACCTGCTAAATTTTGTTCAAAGAACTGTTTTGATATTGCTTCCTTGCTCAAAGAACGTGAAAGATACATATTTTTTTTCTTGGCAGGTGAAACATCCGCAAAGGGATTTGCCAATAGGAATAGCTGCTGCACTATCTATATGCTGTGCATTATACATGCTGGTTTCTATTGTTGTCATTGGTCTGGTACCCTATTATGCTATGGATCCCGATACGCCTATATCTTCTGCATTTTCAAATCATGGGTTGCAATGGGCAGCGTAAGTTTTATTAGATGTGTTTTCGCATATATTTACATCACAGCTACATGCGAGACGTGACAAGTTTTTAAGAAATTTTTTAAAACATCTGCAGATATATCATTACTGTCGGAGCAGTTACAGCTCTCTGTTCAACATTGATGGGTTCACTTCTGCCCCAGGTAGGCTACTGCTTTTAGGTTTTTTCTTTTCTTGGAGCCTGAAGGATAGCATAAGTTTCAAGCTATTGAAATCTTCTGTAAACATATTTTTATAATTGAAAACCATTATATATGTTTCTAATAAATCTGCCTGTATTATTTCAGCCACGAATTCTCATGGCAATGTCTAGAGATGGTTTGCTGCCATCCTTTTTCTCAGATGTCAGCAAAAAAACTCAGGTCCCTGTGAAGAGCACTATAACTACTGGAATTGTTTCTGCACTGCTTTCGTTCTCTATGGATGTTTCACAATTGGCAGGGATGGTAAGTTTTGTATAAACCTTTTATTAATATATATGACTGGTTTGTCATGATTTCTGGTGGATAATGTCTAAAATTTTCAACTTCTTTGACATAGCTTCAATTAGCATGACATTGTCTAACGCTGTGTATAATTCCATTGATCGATTGTAGCCCTTGGATTTGCAGATTTAGATGTCAGATTGGTTTTGTCATACCCCAAAAATGTAGCCAAACTAACTTATTGCATTTGTGGTGCAGGTCAGTGTCGGTACACTACTGGCATTCACTATGGTGGCTATCTCACTTCTAATAATAAGATATGTGCCACCAGATGTGGTGCCACTTCCGTCATCACTTCAGGATTCTATAGATGCTGTTACATTGCGATACAATGACTTTACAAAGGATTTTGGCACTTCTGAGGATATTGCCAAACCACTACTTGGTGGAGTCACCGTGGAAGCCAGTTTTCCTTTGCTTTTAAAGCAAGTAGCTGATGGCAGTTGTAAGTTCATTCAACATAGCACTTTCTTCTATCTTGGTAGGGTTTGGTTGTTAAAATTGGTTAAGATTGACTAGGATAGTTGACTAGCTTTTGCTATAGATAATCTAAATTTCGGTCTTTCTGGTAAGAACATGGAACTCTATCAAATGAGAAGGAGAAAATCAAATTACTTTTCAAGTTGTATTTTACTCTTGAGCTGTATCCAAAATTGTTTGTGTTTATATTTCACATTTCTCAATCAAAAACCAGTAGTGATTTGATCATTTGACAGATACTCTAAGTGATGCCAATAGAAGAAAAGTTGCGGGTTGGACTATCATGCTTACTTGTGTCGGAGTGCTGCTCCTCACATCTTCTGCTTCTTATGTAGGTCTTCCCAGGTATGTGATTCAATGAAACACATTTTCAAACATGTTATTGAAATCCTTATAATCGGGTATTCTCCATCACATTTATTAGATTTGAGAGCTATGCCCCTGTGTTGTCTCATTTTACCTAAAATAACCTTTTAACATTTTTTTAACACATTAAAATGTTCCTTTCTCACAAATGAAGTTGGGTCCTTCCATCCATCAATATATAGTGATGATAGGCATCGTGTACATAAGTTGCAATACCATTGTTTGAACATTTTTCAATGCCATGTCAATTATTCAGAATCAAATTTGGGTACTTAAAGGGTTAAAGATATATTTTTTATAAAGTAGATAATCTAAGGACATTATGGTCATTGTACTCCATGTACATGTAAGAATTATGTCACTAAGATAGGTCATGAGGAATACCATTTATATAAATCATGTACATCTAAGAGTTGCATATAAACATTAAATACATTTTCTAAATTGATATTAATTTAGAAATGCTTGATTAATGTTTGATTTAAACTTAATACTTCACTTTTAGCTTTATGTAATGGTTGTGTACTTGTGTGTATCATTTTCCTCATATTAATATTAGGTACCATGAGAAATTGCAAAATCATAAAGGGCGCTTCTTAGAATTTCTGAAGAAATTGTACCTAACATTACCTATAGTACAAAGAAAGAAGGAACAATATAAAAAAATAAATTATAAAATAACTAAAAAGGGATATTTAAAAATAAATAAATAAAGAGAGGGGAGGGGAAGATCTTGGTGGGAAACATTATAAATGAGATTTGTTTTTGTATAAAATTTTGATTTTTGGCCATCTATTCTATTATATACTCCCTCCATTTCTAATTAATAGTAACACTAGGCTTGGGACATAGTTTTGCAAAAATTATAGGGTGGAGAGTTGGGAACCAAAGTGAAAACTTTTTAATATAGAGTATAGTTTGTAGGGAGGGGGATATTTAGTTGTTATTGGTTGAGAGAAATGATAATATAATAGTTTGCTCTTGCCAAATAAAGAAGTGCTGCAAAATTTGCAATTAATCAAATACTCAAAAATAAGTAAGTGTTGCAATTAATCAAAAACGGAGAAAGTATATGGTACAAAATGTTGGGTTGTGAAGCATTGCCACGTTCATAAGATGAATGTGGCAGAGTTGCGTGTACTACATTTGATGTGTGGTCATACAAGAAAGGATCAGTTGAGGAAAGAGATAATTATTAGGACGAAAGTAGGGTTACATACATCTATTGAGAACAAAATGGGGAAGAATCACCTTAGGTGGTTTGGCCATGTAAGATGAAGATTGAATGAGACTCTGGTAAGGAAGCTTAAAAGTGGCGAAGTGATGGAATCATGAGGGGTAGGGGAAGACCTAAGTAAACACAGAGGAGTGATTGAGATTGATATGAATCTTATGGGGATTGACAAAAAGATTTGTTGGTTAGGGCGGAGTGAAGGGAGTAAATCTACACCGAGGACATGTCATGACCTTTTATATATAGCTTTTGTGTGTGTGTGTGTGTGTGTTTGCGTGCATGTGTGTGAACTTTTTTGTGTTCTGCAAATTCTATTTATTTTCATTGTTAAGCCTATTTCAAAAATTGTTGTGTTTTACTTTCATATTTTTCCTCTCTTTTTATTTTCCCTTTGCCCCCTTGTTTGAAACTTTCTCGATTTTTTTTTTTGTTCTCTTTTTGGATTTTTGTGTTCCATAGCCCCCCTCCCCCAGCAGTTCTTTGCTCACTATTTTTTTTTCTCGTTTTACGTCCTTTGTCATTGTATCATTTTCTTTCTTTATTACATAAATTGCGGATGGTGCCTTATGATGATTCCTGTTAGCTGACCCCAAATCATTTTGGGACTAATGTGTTAATTATAGTACTGTTCTAATTTGGGTTTTTCATCAGTGTGTTTCGATACACGTTGTGCGGAGTGGGTGGTGGTCTTCTTCTATCTGGTCTGACAGTGCTCACTTGCATTGATCAAGATGATGCCAGACACAGCTTTGGCCACACTGGAGGTATGTTCTGCTTAAATGAGAATAAATATTTCATTGCAAAATAAATTTTTTTTTCTTGGACAATGAAAAGGCTTTTTGTGCGGGTAAGTATGAAAAGTAAAAGGCAAACTGGCTATAACAGCAGTGCCATGGCCAGTGACTTCATAATGAATATTGATGCTACTCGCATCAGTAAGAAAATTAAAAGGCGTGTGAAATGCTTAGATCAGGCAGAATCTTCTGCTGAATTAAAAGCATTTTCTGTTGGTACCCAGAAATTTAATTGAAAATGGTGGTTAACTCCTTTTATCCAGAATTCCAGATGATACCCAAGTATACATTACTAGAATTTTATTTACTCTCCTCTCCCATTTTCCTTATTGCTTGATCAGTAAATCCTTGGATATATCCTATCTGTTAAATTTGTAACTGTAAATTGTTGTACTAGTGGAGTTTTGTCTATTACTGTCAATATCAATGATCTGCCTGAAATGTGCTTCTAGTGCTTATAAATAATTAGTTTAGACTGCCATCAATTTCTTAAGTATTTGCGATATTTGATTATATGTTCTTCCAGGTTTTATCTGCCCATTGGTTCCTCTACTGCCAATTGCCTGCATTTTGATCAATGTCTACTTGCTGATAAACTTGGGGTAATTACTACTTTTCTCATTCTCATACATTTCAATTTATATGTTAATCAAAAAAGTTGAGGATCATTTGACTACTGAGAGATTTGCAAATTTAAAAATTGGAGGTCATTTATTGCTTAATATAATTACCATTTACCTATTAAATACGAAGTATTTGGAATAAATTAATGTCTTAAGCCTGACTGAATTTCTTTTGACTGGTTCAGAGTTGATACTTGGATGCGAGTCTCAGTGTGGCTTCTAATTGGGGTGCTTGTTTACTTAGTGTATGGAAGAAGACACAGCTCCCTAAAGAATGTAGTGTACGTACCAACAGCTCATGTCGATGAGATATGCAGTAGCTCACAGGATATTTTGGCGTAGCCTTCTACAGCCAGTAGGCTTCTTGTTGTGCTTTAAATGTTTTAGATGTACACTAGTTTGCATGTGTTACAGGGGGCAGTTTATTGTACCCGCTGCTGGCTGTATATTGTGTATACGTGTATCAAGTTGTTACAAAGGTTTACCGTTTACAAAAATGTAAATATGTACTCTTATGCAAACTCATCCTATTGATGCCTAAGGCAAGTGTTAAAACTGTAGTATACAATGATTGACAATGCAGCAAACACCTGATTGTGAAGGATTGAAGACAGACAATGTATATGCAACTTATTTAACATGTTCATTTAGGATTCATTATTATTGGGTTTTTCTCAGTATTTTTCAGTTTTCCAGCAGACATCGCTCTTCAAACTGACTTGAGAAAGTTTTGATTTGACTTTGAATTGAACCTGAACAGCCTTAGGTCTCAACATTTGCAGCTGTAATTTCTATTACACTGAATTAGAATTTACATTATCTCCAGGTAAAATGAGAACAGACTAAATTATCGTATTGACACATCGTTTCTATAATGTAAGATGGTCAAGTACTACAAAAACGAGTTGATGAACAGCACAAGTCTTGGTAGATTTTCAAGAGCTAATGTAAAAATTCCACCCAGTAGAAAAATGAAAAGAAGAGCAACAAATATCTTCACAATGTAAAGATAATTGATTGGTGGCTCTGAATCTTGTCTCTTTGCTACAGCATTTAATTCCTGCAAAAGTTATGAACCAGAACATTCAAATCAGGCTTCAGTACAAAACTGTAATGACAGAATACTCATCTCGACAGTTATTTAATTGTTAATTAATACTCATTCCTCCCAACATACTAACACGTGACTAACTATAGCCTACTACTCTCTTTGTCCCTTATTGTTTGTCCCAAATCATAAATCTACTTTATTAAGACTTTGGGCAAAAATTGGTGCACATGGGTTGACACAAATATCAATGAGGAGAGAGATAGATAGAGGCAAGTGGAAAAACATGCCTAAAGTAGTATGGAGCAATCTTTTGGAAACACCTTAAAAAAGAAAGTGGAGCAAACAATTAGGGACAGAGGGAATATCAGGTATGGTTCATACCAAGTATTTTTTTTGTTATTGTTATTATTGATAAATACAGTATACTATTTATTGCTGATTTTATACTGTTTTTTTTATTCTATGTTGTTATTATTCCGACGAGATTTTCAATGAAGGAAGAGGGAAAGAGAAAAGAGCGCATTTTGTTTATAATACTGTTATTATTAATTTTATACTGTTATTATTGATTTTTATACTGTTTTCGTCCCTTGGTATGGACTCACCTCCACTAACACGTAATTCACTCACTTTTAGAGGAATGTAACTCACTCACATAAAACTTAAAAAGCTATTAAATTTGACAAGGAAAACTACGGGGTATTCCATATTTAGTACTCAACTATGGTATTGATTGTGAATATTAATATATAATACTCTGTTAGATTTAAAATTAAAATTTATACTCCTTCTCTAACAGTTTTTCTGATTTTAAAATATTTTTACGAGACAATCACGGTGCAAATGGAAAGAACTTTTGGGATACAGTCACACGGGTGGTAACTTCTATGACGGTGCAATAATAGTTAGGCCACCAAACAACAAATGCAGCCTATTTTTTTGGGAAGCTAAATAGTGGAGTAAATCATATAAATCAAATCAAGACCAAGGTAAGTAGGTTACCAACTTCCCACCGACAGTACCTGAAGATGGATATTTTCGTGAACATGCTGCTTGATAGACAGATATTTTCAGACATTAATCAAATGATTAATCCAAAACATTCCTGTTTAGATGAATTCCATTATCTAAACTGAGGATGATATAAGTATGACATTTTATCTAGTCTCCTAACAAAAGACAACAAATTTCATCAAAATGCAGGCCAAACCCAGCATTCTAAGGTTCATTCAACGGCTTTTGCTCTAGGTTCTACATAGTACTTCAGAAATAATGAACACTTAACAATACAACATTGCTTCTTCATCAAATGTCTTAAGTTTTACAGGACAAAATCCTATCGTTTTCCAATCAGCTGACAAAGAATAAATACCAATACTAGTCTGCAACATGATGTTATATTTTTACGACACATATTAAAGGGTTTCTTTCAAGTACATTATCCTAAACAAGGTCCTTCTGATCTGTTTCCTTACATGTTCTTCCATCTACTTTATTCAGAAATTTATGATCTGTTTCATAACAATCGTTTTGTTTATAACATAATCTGCAAGAATGAGCATTACTTGGACATTGTACATGAGCACTTGTTTCCCACCGATATGATTCAGAATAAAGGAAATTGATAGTTTTCCCTCTGATCTTTTCCAAGCCAATCAAAACAGCATATACATTTTTTTTTCGCCCAATCTTTATTCGAGGACGTGATTTAGAAAAAGGAAGCCAAAAATACTATCTTAGTCTATTTTATGGTCTTCTCATTTTTAATTTTTAACAAAGGAGCATCCTATGATTCCTATCACAAGATGTGCAGAAAAAAACATGTCCTTCAACAGGACAAGGACAACACTACTACACTGCCACAAAAGTTCAAACAACCTTTTGTCCAGCGAAAAAGTTATTAATTCTGAGAGTAGGGTAGTCAGGATTGTAGGAGCAACAGCACTAAATCTTGTCCACAAAAGACCTGTCATAGGAAAATCCAAAGAACAAGAGTTGGCCTCCTAATTCTGCTGCAATTGGATGGTGGAGCCTCTCAAGCTAATTTTTTTTATTCAGGCCAAGCTTGTGTAATACTTCGCATGCTTTTTAATGGAAGACAAAAGATAAAATTCTTAACTAAATTATCTCCAACTGATACTGCAGTAAATCCAGCAGCATTCTAGTGTTACAAAGCTTACTACTTTGCATACAACACTTTCACGCTTATAACTTAATCATTAAACTCATCAAACATTATTAGTAAAAACATCACTAACAGGGTGGAGCCAAGCTTACAGTCTGGGGGTTCCAACAACTTAGTTCCAAAATATTTTTTACTCAAGGTTCTTGCTTGATTCTTATGGGAGCAACAAAAGAAAAGAATAATTGGCTTAATCAATATTTGAAGCTTCATTTCATTCAAAGATGTTCAAGTGCACTAGTCAGTGGCTTTCACATAATAGTGCTTAACCCTATTCTCAGAAAGTAAGAACTATCTCGAAATTTCCAAAATAACTTTGACAGGAGCCTTGACAAGAAATGGAGTTTTATGGAAATAGAGGAATGTATAAGATGGAAGCTATTTATTTGCAACAAGCTCCAGAAATAGCTCTCTTCTGTCAATGTTATGAAACCAAATTTAAGACCACTAGGCTTTCCAGAGAATACATGTTAGGTATTGTTATCTATTTTCCATCCAGCAAAGCGGTTCTAGATTGCTAAGAGGCATAATAGAATTTTAATAGAAAGACTAATTAGCTTATGACTTTATGAGTGCATGAATAGAAGCACGCATACTCATCAGAATAAAAGAATCTCTCATTTTTGTTGCCAATGAATATGAAGCAATGTAGAAAGTTGAAACATTATCCATGGAAAATTATGCTACACAATATATTCCTTTTCAAGTTTTCATTGATTTCTCCAGCATAACAATTCCATCTAAAAAAAACTTAGCATAACAGAGCATCCATCTCTATTATCCTTCAATTAATCAATCAAAGCCTTAATCCCATATACATCTCTATTATCCTTGTAATAATTGATTGATTAACTTAAGCACATAATTGATTAATAGAGATGTATATGGGATTAAGTCTATCTCCCTCAAATCAACTTCTGCCAACTAGAACTATTGCGCAAATACTAAAGGGCAAAACTCTAATATTTTCTGACAGAATTGCTCACAGTTCCACAAATTGCCGGACACAGTTCTACCCTGTCCAATTCTACCGCCATTTACATTCATAGCTACAAAGACCGAAAGGAAGTAAAAAACAAAGATCAATGCATAGGTGCGGCAAGAACCCTCTCCTTGCAGGAATAACTAGAAGCAAGCTCCGAGACAAAATCAAAGCAAGCCACACTAGAAGAAAAATCAATATTGTCATTTCCCATAAGACTTTTTACTTGACTTGATCAACCTTTACTAACAACTATTTTGTCTAGAAGAATCAACAAAACAAAAAGTGCACTCCTAATTGACCGTTCAAAAGATAAATGATTAGTGCTTATAGTGGTACAGCACCTAAATCAGTCAAAGGGTATGATCTTATAATGCACAAAAGCCCAACATTCACCAAAAAAAATAGCAGAAGACTGAGTAAATCACATAACCACTAACAACAAGAAGTTGGGTTCGTTGCCATTACCTGCACGCCGTCGCGTTCCTTGTTAACTGCAAAACAACATCATAAGAAAAAAAAAATATCAGTGCAAACATAACCACATTATGCAGGTAGAAATGGGATAAAATAATTACTGTCTCCTTCACATATATATGGGGGCCACATTTGATTTCTATGGTAAAAACCTTGGTAATTTTTTTAATCCGAATGAGTCACAAGAGCATTACAAATTACAATTGGGGAAGAGAAGGATTCAAAACTAGCGATCTATTGTACACAAGCCTTCAATCTTTGTCGGGCCAAAAACTAATAGACATTTTTATCACTTTACAAATAAATGACCTTCATTACATAACAATGATAGCAACAGTAATGTGTTCCTTAAATTATGACCCCAAAACAATTGTGATGAATAAAGGAACACAACAAAATAGCAGTCCCTCCGTCTGAAATTAATAGTCACATCGTATATAGTGTAATTTGAACAAGTAACGTAACGATTAATCAAATTGGGACAAACCTTGTTGAGAGTCCAAGACAGTTTGCAACTTCCAACCATTGCCATAACTTAGAAGAACAGAACTGGGTCCAAAATTAATGGGTTCTTCACCAGATTTAACAGCTTCAATGTACAAAGCATGAGGGGAAGTTGCATCCAATTTATTATTGATCAATGATATTGCAAAACCTGCTTTTGTTCCTGGGGAAAATCGCCTCACAATCCCAGAACTTTTGCAAGTCACCTCTAAAAACTGCATCAATTCATATAGTATATGATTCAAAATTGAGCACCAAAAAAGTTGCAAAATTACTGAATTTTGACCGATTTGAGTTGGGGTATTTGAGAGATAAACGAAGAGATTGATTTGAGGGAGATAGACTTACAAGTGGAGGAGGGAGTTCTGAGGATTTTGAAGATACTTTTGGTTCCGCCACTGTAGACTTTGCTCGTGAAATTTTCTGATCCCTTCTTTGACCTTTCTATTCAACCATCTCTGATAGTTAATTGGAATTGGGTACTCAGTAAGATAATTAGTATCCGAATTGGGTAGATAAGTAAGGGTCGATGAGGAGGGGGTCAATCACGAATTCACAGCTCATTTAAAGGTTTAGGTTTTTTGAATTTTAAACATATGTTAATTATATTTTCTTTTTATAAAAAAAGTTTTTTCCTACGAAAGTGTTTTAATTTTGATTTATTATGTATAAAGTTTTATGGTTAATTTTTGTTTTTAAAGATAGAAAAATATTGAATTTCTTGTACACTTATCAAGTTTCGATCTAATTCGAGCGAGTACAAGCCAACTTGTCTCGAGTTTTGACCGAGGGTTAATCGAGTTAAGTTTGAGCTACTCGTAAGTTACTCTCCTCAATTAACATCCATAAACCCGAGCACTTGTGATTTGGAAGTAATTTATACAAAGTATATATCAAAACTAGTTTTGTGCCTCGGCGATGCCCGGGTAGTTTATGGACTTTTAAGATAAAATTATACTATTATAATTCAATTTGATTGAAAATAGAAGTCTAAATTAACTATTTTTGCTACAAAGTCAATCTATATTTATCCAACGTGGTACGATACTTGGCGAAAAATTAAAACACTAAATGATGTTGTCTTGTGGCCTAATTATAAATTTATTATTTGGTATTTTATCGAAGAAATAACTCTAAACTAATAATCTTATTCTAAAATTCTATCCTAATTTGATTGAAAATAGAATTCTTACCTAATTTTTTTTATCTTATGAAATCTATCCAAGGTGGCGTGACACTTGACGATTTTTTATCATATGAAGTCTATTTAAATCTATCCAAGATGGCGCGACACTTGGCGAAAAATTGGAATGTCAATTTCGTGACCTGGCTAAAAGTTTAGCTTTATATATTAGTTATATATGATTAAATTTGTAAAGTTTAAATCTTTTTCTATTTTAAAATTAAAATAAAGTACCTATCTTTTGTTTCAAAATAAATATCTTAATTTAACTATTATATCATTCACTTACACCAATTTGACCAATGTTTGTGCAATACCAAGAATTAAATAATAGTTATCTTGTAGCCTTTTAGGATTTGACTCAATTGAACATCAATTTTGATCATTTATACTCATTAATAACTAAAAATATTATTGATCAAAATTTTTGTTGTTGTGAATGGTTTTCCAATTCTACATATCATACATAAATTATGAAAAACAATAACTCATATAAACGTGTTACACTTTCTTTTCTTTCATTTTTTTTCCAAAAGAAGAATACACAAAACAAAAGAAAAGTTTATTTTGACTTACACAATTCATCTTCCACATTGGGGTAAATATATACTTCCACTATTCTTTTTTACCTGACCTGTTTCTTTTATCACGCTTGTCAATGCAAAACTTTAACGATCAATAACTTAAATTCTCCATAAGTAAAAATTATAAGAGTTATATATTATGATAGTACTTATTGAGACGAATCCAAAAATATCATACATGGATATATTTTTCCTTACATATTATTCACAAAAGACGGTCAAAGGAGGGGTGGTGAATAGTGTAAAAGTCAAAGTGTGTCAAGTAATAAAGAACGGAGGAAGTATCTATTACCTATTTCTAAAACAAAACATTGCTGACATCATCAATCTCTAATCTATCCTACATGTCGGTCTCACATTAAAAATTTCCCTCCACTTCTACGCGTGATGACATCAATTATTATTATTTTTTTTTAATCTGCATTATATATTTTTCAAACAAAAACAATTGCCGCCTTTTTTTTTTACACAAATGATTTTTTTTAATGCCTAATAAAAAAAATTTATTCAAATCGTGCAATACATGAGTCTATTCTAGTACTTTTTTTTTAGGGGAGAGTCTAATCTAGTACTTATCTATAATATTATTAAAACTCAGTGGGATAACATGGTATTAACATGTGTTGCCCCTCCCTTAATGTATTTGGCGCTTCATAAAAAATGATATAACAAGACCTATTCATCTATACTAAATACAAAAAATTCAATGCAAATTTATGATTGAGTTATAATTTGAACCACTAAACTTAAATTGATTGGTAATAAAAAGGATATATTGATTCAACGCATTTACAAGATTGATGCGACAATGAAGAAACTTCACACAATTGAATATAAACCGTATATCAACCAAGAGGCTAAAGACTCGGTTTGAGTGAAGGAGGAATACAAAAATGAATTAGCAAAAGCATAAATTGTCTACAAATGGATGGAAACACTCCCATCAAATTATTCTCATTTATGACTTTATATGTAGCTAGTCATCAAGTGATTAATTTGCTTAAAGAAGATATTGAAATTAATAATAGGAAATTTTGTCAGAAACCAGCAGCTAAAAACATTTTTTTGTCAAAAATCACCCGAATTTTTTTTCGTTGTCTAGAACCACCCAATTTTAAAAATTAGTTGCCAAATGCCACAAGAGTTTATTTTCCGGCGTTGACCCTACCTATGTGCCTTGCACGTGACTTTTAATGAACCCCTCCCTTATCTCTCTCCTCTTCCTTCTCTCTCCTCTCTTTGTTCTATCTCTCTCCTCTCTTTGCAAGCTCCATTATTGTTGACTATGGTAAAAAATAAGTAAGACCCATTGTTGCGTAGCAACAACTTAGTCAACAACAATGGAGCTTGCACAAGTCATCCTCTACCACTTCTATTGCCACTGTCGGCGCCACCAGTAACTCCGGCACTTCATTAGAATCTAAAAAAAACTGAGAGCAGGGGCAGGCATTGTTCATGGAGGTCCCACTTTCACTTCTAGCGCCACCCATAGACCCTTCTACCCGCATCTCCTACAACTCCAAACAACAGCCTAACATTGCAGCAACCCACTAAAGCAACCCTGCCACACATGCCAACGCACATCGCACCAGCCGCAATACACAACATCCGCACTGCCAGCTTCGCCCATCAACAACACCATAAATTTCACCAATTCGCCGCCTACAAACATCAATTCGCCACCAATTGCAACAATTTCGGCATTGTAATTATATTCCAGTAATTTGGCAAGGAGCATCTTTAATCTTCGACCTATTAAAGACCTTGAAGGTGCGCCGCTAACAAAGAACGGTGTGCGACACCTAAAAAGACAGAGGAAGGGGGAGAGGGAGAGGTTGGCTGAAAAGGGGAAGTTAGGGGAAGGGGAGGGAGTAGCCCAAAATTCGAGGGGTTACCGGAAGGGGATTTAGGCTGCTGAAAGGTCTTACAACAATGGAGCTAGCTTGCAGAGAGAGGAGAAAGATAGAACAGAGAGAGGAGAGAGAAGTAAGAGGAGATAGATAAGTGAGGGGTTCATTAAAGTCACGTGCAAGGCACGTGGGTAGGGTCAACGCCGGAGTTCTGGGTCAATGCCGGAAAATAGACTCATGTGGCGTTTGGCAACTAAATTTTAAAATTGGGTGGTTCCAAACAACATTTTTTTCGGGTGGTTTTTGACAAAAAAGTGTTTTAAACGGGTGGTTTTTGACAAAATTTCCTTAATAATACATATATTTTAAAAAAAAATTCTCAGTTTTTTGAAATAAATGAATTATCCTTTTTATTCTCTACGTTTTTCAATTAGAAAAGTTTAAAAAGTTCCTCCCATTTAAAATCATTCTCTCTCTCTTTCTCTCTCCCTATATATATATATATATATATATATATATATATATATATATATATGATAAAACAGAATTCCTCAGTTTTTACTGATCGTGTTTCATCACAGTGTAACTTATACGTAATCAACTTGTTTGTGTGGAATGTTCATGACCTCAACATAATTGCGCACTAGATTCGGTTTTCAAAACCAATTTGCTTCGATTAGAAGTTAAAGCTCTCCGAAATATTACATGCGTCCTATATAAATATAGCAATTTATTGATTCATTAAACATCCATTGCACTTTCCAAACAAAACCCAATTCAACAATCTATTAACTAATACTAGAACAAAACTTTGCTGACATCATGCCTTTTCCAAATTGTACACATGTCACTTTGACATAATTTTTTTTTCCCACCAATTTGCTTTGATAATGTCATTATTTTTTATTTTTTTTATATTTTTTTTACTTTTATTTTTTATTATCTAATATAGTTTACCTTTCATATGTTTTTTCCTTTGTCCTCATCGACTTCTTTTTTTTAAAAGTATGATAATATTTCAATGTTCAAAAGTGTTCGTTGTGATTCTTTTTAATTTTATAAATAATATGCTACAATGTACACAAAAAATTAACGAAGTATAAAACTTTGTTTCTCCCCATTATAAACAACTGTCATAATATGTTTGTTTAAAATCGTGCATCGCACGGGAACTAAACTAGTTAGTTAATAATCCTAAACCATCAACTATAAGTTTTACCAAAAAAAAAAAGCACAATAGTTTCATAAAAAAGCACAATAGTTTCTTTTAAAAAGCGCAATAATCACTTTACCTTTTCCGCTATTTTTTTTATTGAATCTTAACCCCTTTACTTCTCTCTCCTCTTTATCTCTCTTAATATTTTGAAAAACAAAACTTAACTCTACGTTCTACTTGGAAAAATCCGTAATTACTTGCAAATTTCGTCAAATTAGAGGAGATCATGGTCGGGACGAGTCTTTGAACAAAAATTTCGGACCATTTTGGGCCAAGTCTTCGGTTGAAAAAGGCGTGCCAAACGAGATATTCCCGTTCCAAGAAAATCAGGCTTAAATTGGGCCGGCCTAAAAGTTTAATTAAAAAGTACGTATTTTTTAGGAGCTAC